ACTAGTGGGAAAAAAACACTGGTGAAAACATCTTTTGATGGGAGGCAGCCATCCTGTGTAAGCTGAACAGAACCAGGACATATGCAAGACTCACACATAAACAGAAACTCTTTCTTTATTGCATCCAGGTTTCCCCTCCATGCTTGCATGAATAATTCACAAAGCCATTAATGTTACATTGGAAAAAAAATAATCAATTCTGTTATTCAGTTGCTTGAAAAACCACCTTCTCTGCCTAGGACAGCAGGGAGGAAACGTGCCACCTCACCTGACAGCCTCCTGGTGACAGAGCTGCTGGCAAAGTCCTATCATGACTGTGCTGAAGTTCAACCTTTGCACAGATCTTGCACTCCCATCACAGAACAGCTGACTGTTAACTGCAAAAACTGTTGACTTATTTAAAAAAAACCAAGCAGCTTGCTCTCTTTGCCAAAGGCCCTTTGCCTTTTAAACATATAGCTGTTATAAACCACTTATCATCCATCTACTGATAAATTAGTTTCAAATTAATGACATCATTAAATTTTATTTGTTTGCTCTGTAACCTGGGAGGACATACAATTTCTCTGCCTCACTTTTACCAGTAAGCCTGTTTTCTTAAAAGAGGAGGACTTTTTTCTTCAAGCACTGAGACCATACTTTCAGCATGGGTAAGATGGCATGGTTCCATTAAAGACATGGAAAAAGTGCTAGTTTTAACAATTTTCCATGCTTTCATTTTTTTCAGGGCCTATTTTGTGTACAAAGGCTACATTTAGTCATGCTTGCTATAGAGTATCTTCCACTAAAAGGTGCAAATGGTGAGAAGGAAACATCCCATGAGAATACATTGGAGTCTATACACTTGGAAGAAAAAAATTTCATATATCCTTATTTTTCAATTTATTTCACAAAGTACAGTGCATACCAAAAAAGCTTTGGTTGAAATTATATGCTTCATGTTTGTCTAAACCAGGTGTTCCAAATGGATACAAAAGGTTTTGGTATTTTTTTAACTTTGTGAGAATTTACCAACATTCTCAATTTTTGTTCTATTAACACTAGCAATAATGTATTTTTATGTCTGTAGCAAAAATACGTTTATTGCCTAAATATACATGGGTTTGTGATGTAGATGTAATGCATGACTTTAAATGGGGGTTGGATTGAAGCACAGAGAAAAGCATCTGTAAAATTCTCATCAGTCTTACCCCACTGCTTCTGTAAATGGTTTATTTTTTTGTTCCTATGGCTATACTTATTTTATCCCACTTAATTATCATCACATACCAAATTTTGGTGGCATGAAGCTTGGCTGCAAACTTGGTTTTCCAGGAAGGGGGAAGCCTTGTTAAACCAACCTGGGAAGAAAGCCTGGACCTCATGTGGCAGTCCGACTGTCTTTGCTAAGCTATTGCATGTTATTGGCTTCTGGTAGGTCAGATCTAATAAAAAGTAGCATTTCATTTGTCTCCTGTCACAGGAGCTGGGCAGCTCCAGAATATCAAACAGTTTCATCTCATGTAAATATCTGTATTGTATTGGAAATAAATAGGGTCAGAGTAGTTATCCTGGTACTCCCTTTTATCTTCTGCTGTTGAGGAATGGCAGGTAGCCAGCAAGCCACTCAGGGGAATTCTTTACTCTCTTGTCTGTCTTCTGGCTGCAAGCAGGTTATGCTTTTTCTCTACCACTGTATTTGCTATAACTCACTCTAAAAATTGATACCCTTTATACAAGGAGTCAGATGTTTTCAGCTTCACTTTGTATCCAGGAACCTAAGTGGAATTTTACCATCTGCTGTCATGGACCTGCAATTCTTATTACACTGAAAATAAATACAAGTAGTTTGGCTTCTATGCACCCTATAAGCCCAGCGCTGTATATTGACAGAGCTGCAGCCTTGTGTGTTGTCTCCAGCAGGAATGAAGGCTTGAACACAGCACCCAGGCATGCCCCCACCTCAAACAACCTAATTTCCATAATTTAGAAATTTAGGTTTCTAGGAGTTCAGCAATCCAGCTACAATTCAAATCCTGTTAAAAGCCCTGAGTTTACTTTCTCCTTACAACAACTGGGAAAATATGACGAAATGGAGGGGATCCTAGCTAGACCAACTAACAGGAAACACACTGTGCTGGAGGCAACTGCAGGCCACAGGAACTGCATGCATGTTCCACACAACCTTGAGCATCTCAGGTGTGCCTATGGTGAGGTGACTCAGTGAGAAACTGAGTCTTTAATGCTGGGGAGTAAGAGAGAAGAGAGAGAGCTTCACTAATGCAATGGCCATATGAATAAATCCCAGTGCAGCACCCAGTACTTTTCATTTGGAGTCCCTAAGCACAGGTTTTGTGGTCATTTGGCCTCCCATCTACAGCAGGATTTTATCACTTGGAGCATAACAGCTGAGATTCCTTGTTAGTCTTGGAATCAGGACCTTGAGACCTTTCTAGCAAGCCCTACACTTGCACATTTTTCAGTGAGACATCTCAGTGCTTGTTCTTGCAAGCTGCTAAATATGCTGGCATTTACACAGCAAAATATGTAAGTGCACACTTAAAGCTTGGTTCTGCAGTGGGAGAGGAGCGTCAGAAAGCAATCCAGCAATGCTCTTCCCTTTGTGACCTTAAAAGCATCTGACAGAACGACGAAGAAACCTTCACCCTGGCGTTTACATGGAAGGAGCTTTGTGAGTATCTGAGTGGTTCTATGGGTCAAGCACAGGAGGAGACGCAGACATCATCTTCAGAGCAAAAATGGTACAAACAACCTGGCAGATGTGTTAGAATCTGTGGCATCAACACAAGGATGGCACCCCCTTTTGCCGTCCACCATGACCTGAGGCCTGGCAGCCTGGCTTTCTAATGCATTTGGAGAGATGAAAAGTGAAGGAAAAAACATATATATGTATTATTCCAGAACTTCATGATCTCTTTAATGACTGAATCTTCCTGTGTAACAGAATTACCACTTAAAAAGAACCTGTTCTTTTCTATTCATGCCTGGATTTTAAGGAAGGACAAAACATGCTGATGGCCAGTAAATTAACTTACCTTTGCATCTCTTTTTTTTTTCCTTAAGTGATATTAAAGCCTACACTTCCTAAAAGAGCATTAGTAAGGTTGTAGTCCTCATGGCAGTGTTAGACACGCATACAGGGGTGCCACCTCCTGGTTCCACCACACAGTGTAATGCATGTGCTCGATGCATGTACCAGATCCCCGTGTCACACGTACAATGCAAAGGGGGAGGGTGCAACGTGCAAAGAATAACTTACAAACCCAAATGTTTAAGACAACATCTGGATAGAAATCAGCCTCAGTTTTCTAACAGACATTTAATTTTTATATAGATATCCCTCCTTATAATACCTCATAAGTGTATTTTAGAAAATTACATTAATAAAATGCAAGATTGAGTGGTTATTTGAAGTATAACATACAGATTATTTTATTGAATGTGTGAACATACTTAGATCTTATGTGAAGTTATAAATTAGATGAGTAGACTGCTCATAGCCATATATGATGAGCAATTTTTTGAAAAAAACCCTATTATATAATTAATAAACACAGGATTGAACATATGAACTAATGAGTGCTTATCACATAGTTACAAAATAGGCTGTTTAACACCTGTCTGTATAAACTTAAAAGTACTTATTAATAAATATCCCTTATAAAAAGAAGAAATAAACCTTTCCAAATTATTTAATAACCTACTTCTTAAAAGTTTGATATGCAAGAATATAGTATTTTCCCCAGAATTACTTTGGTTAATATCCACAGTGTAGATATTAATCACCTTTCACCACATGCATCTTTCATAGAGTCAAATAGAAATACCAAGGGATATCAACTGATGTCAATAATCTGCTGTTGCACACAAATCATGACTACTGATTAGTAAAGCAATTATCATATTAAAAGAGTTCAACAGGGCTCAACATACTGTAAAATTAGAAATCGGTCAATACCACTGCCATTACATAGAACATCATTGATTGGATGTACCAAACGCTGGCCTTGATGACAATTGATCACGATGAACTCTGCTCACAGAGGAGTCTGGTACACTAATTGAGGAGCCAGCGTTAAACAGAATAACAAATAGAGGAAGAGGGGAGAGGAGAAATGGCTACAAAGCTAGGGTCCTTCCTTGTATATACAACAAAACCAATGAAAAGACAAAGAGCCAGGAAGGCCTCTGTCTCTACTGTATGTCCACTAACTTCTAAGCCTACTTTTCCAAAACCAAATGAACCTGTGAACCCCTCGCAGGTCATCTCCACAATCTGCACCACAGCTGGGAAACAAGCTCAAAAGAGCCTGAACAACACTTCAGCACAAGCGTTTCCAAAACCAAATCCCACAGAGAGGATAGAAAGCCCAGAGGTCTCATTCATAACATATCTGTGACCTAAATCCGTTGGCCTACTTGAAATCAGGCCTCAGACTGCACGTGTAACCAAAATATGTTCCTTGAGGCTAAAGCCAAACACCAGGGGAGGAGCCGCCCAGGCTGCTTTTCTTGTTTGGTTCATGGCAAGCTGCACATGAAAGAGTTTCAGTGAAATGCTGGGTTGTTAAATTTGGCACTAACTGTTCGCTGTTCTCACTACAGCTCAAGGAAATGCATGCTGGTAGGAAACAAGTTCAGAACATCTCCCTTATTATCCTGAAAACCTGTTTTCTTCTGAAAGTATCATCAGTCTCAGATCAGGAGCTAACTGCATCAAGGTACCAAAGAAACTCATCGTGACAAATCCAAATGTCCTACTGCCTTCAGGTTTGTTGCCTTTACTGAGTTTTAAAATACAAATAAAAGCCCAGGGGTTAGACCCATACCTGACTTGGAATGAACTGAAGGACAGAAGTAGTTCTGATTTTGGAGATGACCTGGGGAAACCCCACACAACACAGGCTGCTGAAACTTCGAACAAGCACAAGCTTTGCTGGTATTAAACCACGACCAGTAATCAAAGATCCCGTGCTGGGGGTACACAGCATTATTGCTATGTTTTTATGGTTTCCTGGAAATGTAGGAGAAATAACAGGCTCATTTATCGGAATTTAGGGCGAGCAGGTTGTGCAAGGCGGAGTTTGCTACTAGTTGAGTGGACGCCACCAGATGGCCCCCGTTGCCCATTTCTTCTAATGCTCGTGGTGCAGTCACGGGAACGTACCTTGAGCCGGGAAAAAGAGCTGCTCATAACGCAGAGCCGGTCAGCAGAAGTCGGAGAGAGATGGGCATTTCAGGCGTTCCCAAAGGTAAGACACAGCTTTAGAAAACACATTTGGATCCAAGGGAATTAAGGACCTGAGCTACATCAATCATTGTTAACATGCAAGTACATTACAGTGAAAGATTATCACATGTTTTAGCCAACTTCTATTCAGTTGTCAGGTCATCAAGTTGCTTAACACTACATCTTCTAATAATCCACAACATTTCTATTGTTATAAGTAACTCATGTTTCTCATGTCCACACTACGCTCCTAATACATAGAAGGCACTTGGTCATCCCTTTATATACATACTCTGTGTGTGTATAGACAGAAAAAAATATTTATAGGTAAATAAATATAAAAAGAGACCTCAAAACTCCTGGTCCCATCTCGTATTTGAGTCAAATACATTCCCAGAGACCCAGGAAATTTAGAGAACCTTCCTAAAAAACTGGCTCAAATACATTAAGGCAGTGGTGGTCATTTACACAGAAATTCACCTTACACTTCTTAACACGGAATAACTACAATCTGTTTCAGGTTATTTTACCCTTGCAGCAGAGCAGCATGAATAGGGGTAACATCCAAATAATCTCTCCTTAATCCACAGATGAAAAGCCAGAAATGAGACAGATGTTGAAGCTATTTCAGTCTGCAGATTTAGTTTAAAGGGGTCAAAGCATAACTCACCTTTACAAGTTCTACTCCCAACCAAGGAAAAATTAGGTAATAGCAACACAAACATTTAAAAACATGTTTTTAGAGGACTCCTTCTCAAGCTGTGATTTTGGAAGCCTGCCTAAGGAAGCAGAGGCATGTTACACGCAGTGACCCAGCCTTTATGGGATTTTGTGGGGTGCCCTTACTTACTCAAGGCTTCAGGACTCTAAATACAGGGAACACAGCTCCAGCCTGAAACAGGATAGCACCCATGTGACTTAAGGTCTGGAGCTACAGGTTCTGTACACAGAACCCACACTGTGTACAAAGATTCTGCACTGCACCTTGACCATCCTGCATGAGTTTTATTAAGGACCTAAAGGAGGAGCTTTTTGAATATATCTGGTTTTCCATCCACACAGCTGATCAAACAGCGATGTCTCTGAAAGTTAGAAACAGCAGCTATGTTCAACTCTCTGTCTCTGACTCACTCACATAGCAAGAGGGTATGATTTTACTGTTAGCATGCTGTCGCAGGGTATCTTGTCGTGAGGCCTTGGTCCAGTGGGGGAAGAAAGATGCACAAGACACACTAGGATGGTGAGACAAGAGATGTCTGCCTGCTCAGCGCAGCAGGCAGCCTTTTATTGAGCTTGCCAACTTCACACACAACACAAACATATTCCCACAACAACACCCAGGAATCCAAGCACCTGCACATTATCAAACCGTCTTAACCTTGTACTCCCTGCAACCCAAGGCCGTGTCCATGGAAACCATCTAACCAGCTCCACTGCTCTCATGGAACACGGCCTAACTTTTGCACTATCTCAAACTTTAATTGTGGGGCTACAACTTCACCCCACACCATGCCCTCCTGCTGGAGGTGTAAGACACACTTATCTGTGGTGTCCTTTTGGATAGTAATCAATTCCTCTATAACCTTATCACTCTAAGGGCAGTATACAATTTCAGGTAAAAGTAATTGCCAAGGCCACTGCTGATATATTCTATATTTCATTTGCATTTCAAAAGAATGAAGGAGGTGGAAGGTAGGTAAAGAAAGCACCACTAAAAACCAGAAACATTTCTTTAAAGCAGGACAAGACAAAATAGTCTCTGTTTCAAGTTAGGCTGGTATTTTTTGGCAGCTAACAAAGCACATTTCACTCATCATTAAAAAATTCTTGTGTTCATCACTTGCTTTACATTTCCCTATTCTATATGTACATACGTACTTCACAGAGTTTTCAGCTTCTTTTGTCAAGATAGCCACAAAATGGCAGAGGAAATACTGACAATCCCACCATCCTCCCACAGGTGACATGTAATACTCGTACCTTCAGAGGTCTGAGCTATACTTTTACAAGACTTGGAGTCATAGCCATGATGAGGATCACATGTTCAAAGGCTCCTCTTCTCTTTGTTAGCTGGGGAAGTGTAGCAGGCTGGGAAAAAAGGCACATCATCTCCTAATTTCTTACAGAAGCAGAGCCCACATTAGAAAATGTCTCTTCCAACAGTCTTATCTCCCCATATTTTCCTGTCTCTGCCCCCTTTTTTGCTTACTCAGTTTCCGTTTTTACCTCTGAGCAGGAAGAAAGCACACAGTAGTGTGGGAGGGATGCTCCCCACACTTGTCTTACTGCAGCCTCTCTTAGTGACTCTCAGACAACAGTCACACAGAAAGAAAATCTCTCAATTTTAAACTCTGGCACACTGAAGAGATTGTCTACCACATTTCTTCACATTTTTATACCTAGAAAATAAATCAACAGCTTCAGCAGCCATGGAAGCACAGTTTACTACATTCAGGAGTCAGCAGCCCTCTTTCACAGCAGGAGAGCCTGAGGCAATTCTCCTCTGTAGACATACTGGTAGCACTCTCCCTACCTGGATGGCTAAAAGCTTTGTAGAAGGGCAGTTTCTTCTACTGCTTACCTGTGACAACAAAATTTGGACGGACTGATCCACCAAAAGAATTCACATACCTGTAGCAAAGCCCAGCCTGGCCTCAGAAGAGGAGAGCTCAGTTCCATGCCACTTCTGTGCCATGCAGCCTCAGGGCAATTATCACCTCTGTTAGCCACTCCTCTGAATATTAGTTTTCTAGACTCTCCAGGGCTGGGCAGAGCTGTATCTGTGCATCTGTGCCTCTGCAGGCTGTGTTTGTGATCACCACAACAGATCCTTCATCTCTTCATCAATGGGCTCTCATGTAAACCTTATTAACTGTCCTTACCAACATCTCTGTCACAGAAAACCTTGGGCAAAATAACACCTATTTGTGTGTGTTTCATTAGGGCTATTCAGATCATTTAAGAAACTAGATCCTTCCATATGGGAGTTACTTACCAGGAGAGCAAATATTTTACACCAGCAAATAATGTAAGTGACGGAAATATTTCCATCTCATACTTCTTATGTGCAGTTGTTCTGTTTGTTTCTGGAGGGTGGGCTTGTCAGAGAGCAAATCCTTAGCCTTCATATCGAGTGGTAACATAAGCAGGTGGCTCTCCAGAAATAATGATAACAGAGGACAATGGATGTCACATCAAATGTTTTCTTTAATTTGTGTAATGCATACAAACAGACACAGAAAGGGACATAACAAAACTAGAAGATAAAATGTAATTTAAAACCACAATATATTTTCTTTGTGTCTTGACTTTCTTTCTGTCCTTGGCTGTGACTAATTTACCTCAGCATCACACACCCAGGCGTCAGGGGCATGCTGCCCTGGACACTGTTCTGCTCTTTGTCAGAACAGAAAACTTTCTACATTGCTGTCCCTGGTCTTGTGACATGGAAGGGAAAGTCAACACGTGGGGGTTTTCCCCTCTGACATCCAACACTTCCTCTCCAACATACAATTTGGAAAACATATTTTGGTGAACTGCCTAATGTCTCCTGATGTGAGGAGCTCTCCACAGCATGGTTACTGTGGCTGACAGGAACACTGCTAGTCCAAGTCACTGAGGCAGCAGGCTAGGACTACAGACCTGTTTTGTTAGAAGCTAACAGGTAACCATTTAAGTCCTCAAGGTATTGCAAATGTTTTAAAATGGTGTTTTAATGAGCCTAAGAAATTTTATTGCCAATTTTTCTCACTCAACATCAGAGAGAATTTTACTAGTAGCTAGTATATTTTCCTATTTATAAAATTAGAGTAATTTGCATTAAATAAGGATATCTCTTTATGGTTTCCCTGCTGTGTCATGTGCAAAATATCTTAAAGGGACAGAAGGAAAACATGTTTAGTTTCATATAAAAACTAGTCTATTTTCTGGTGGAGATAAGTCATGGAAAAATGAGATAAAATAAATACCGTTTAACAAACATTTCTGTTTCCCACAGATCCATTTTCTATTACTATCTGGCAATATTTTTTCTGTTGCTCTTCCTTGAAAGACTCTTTCACCTTTTTCCTTTTTAGTCCCCCATCCCTGAAAGATACAGAAAAGAAACAGCCTTGAGCTCACTTCAGGGGCAAGGCAGAAAAACACTGCAATATTTAGACTGCGTAGTTTCCACTCTTAATGTTGGATTTTGTACGACAACGCTAAATGATCTGTACTGCCAAGTCTTACCACACAACAATGCCCTTTCTTAACCCAGCATTTAACAGTCAATAATTCATTTTCACCTAACATTGTCTGCTGGCTAGATCTACCTGTCAGCTCTATTTCTCTCTATATACTATATTATTCTATTTATCCTAATGGAATTGTTCAAGGAATATTTTCTGGACTTAGAGTCAGTAAGGGTGATGGACTACAGTGCAAGCAAAGCAAATCTGGAAGAAGTTTTAAAGGATTCCAGGCTAATATTTCAGAATACAGAACACCTTAAAAGGCTTTAAACCCAATCTCAGAGGTGTTGCTTCTTACCAAGGAAGCACAGACATTCCCCCCCGAGCAGCAATGACAGCCTTGACTCTGTTGGCAAAGTGAACAGCATCTTCTTCTTCCTGAAAAATATATTAAATTGTTTACTTTACAATATAAACATTTTTTCTGTGCCTCACTTAAAGACATTTTGTCAGACAGTAGGCACCTCCAGACCCACAAGCCAGATGTGTCTTGCAGGGCAGTTCCAGCTGATCCTGGGGAACGCTGCCCAGTTTGCCACCAGTCAGTGCCAAAAAGAACTAAGTGGGAGGCTCTCTGGCTTCTGGGGCAATCTCAAACAACACACAGCATGAGGTCACAGGTCTGGCCAGAGCAGGGGATGTGTCTGCTCCCAGTACTTCAGTATGAATCTGAAGCTGGGAACACACTGACAGGATCACCCTTGCAGGAGACGGGGTTCTTGAACAGGGTTGGGCCTCGTGCGTTCAAATTTTTGTGAGGTCACAGGACTCTGCCCAAACTTCAGAGGACTGAAGATACATGTACTACAGTAGCTTCCCTGCCAAAATTAGGGCTAAGCAAAGACCATGGTAGGCAATACTAAACTGGGGCTTTGCTAGAGAAACAGCCTTGAGCACTTTGTCAGCGTCAGGGTGGTATATAGGGCAGTGGGCTGGGAGGCTCTGCTAAGTTGTGGGGTAAAGCTGCTAGGCAAAGGATTAGCTGGATATGCTGCAGGACTGAGAAACAAGGTGGTGGGAGGAAGCTGTTACAGAGAACAGAGTGTTGGGAAGATGCTGGTAGCGGGGGGACACGGAAACAGAAGCAACCCTGTATGGAGTGAAGAGAAGGCCTGAATCTATGTATCACTTCTAGAATAAAAACAGGAGGTCTATGCCAGACTGAGGGGCAGGACTCCTGCAGCA